GTTTCTGTCTCTGTGATGGTTTCTGTCTCTCTGATGGATTCTGTCTCTCTGGTGGTTTCTGTCTCTGATGGTTTCTGTCTCTCTGATGGTTTCTGTCTCTCTGATGGTTTCTGTCTCTGTGATGGTTTCTGTCTCTCTGATGGTTTCTGTCTCTTTGATGGTTTCTGTCTCTCTGGTGGTTTCTGTCTCTGATGGTTTCTGTCTCTGATGGTTTCTGTCTCTCTGATGGTTTCTGTCTCTTTGATGGTTTCTGTCTCTCTGGTGGTTTCTGTCTCTGATGGTTTCTGTCTCTGATGGTTTCTGTCTCTCTGATGGTTTCTGTCTCTCTAATGGTTTCTGTCTCTGATGGTTTCTGTCTCTCTGATGGTTTCTGTCTCTCTGATGGTTTCTGTCTCTGATGGTTTCTGTCTCTCTGATGGTTTCTGTCTCTGATGTTTTCTGTCTCTGATGGTTTCTGTCTCTCTGATGGTTTCTGTCTCTGTGATGGTTTCTGTCTCTCTGATGGTTTCTGTCTCTGTGATGGTTTCTGTCTATCTGATGGTTTCTGTCTCTGATGGTTTCTGTCTCTGTGATGGTTTCTGTCTCTCTGATGGTTTCTGTCTCTCTGATGGTTTCTGTCTCTGATGGTTTCTGTCTCTCTGATGGTTTCTGTCTCTCTGGTGGTTTCTGTCTCTGATGGTTTCTGTCTCTATGATGGTTTCTGTCTCAGTGATGGTTTCTGTCTCTGATGGTTTCTGTCTCTCAGATGGTTTCTGTCTCTGTGATGGTTTCTATCTCGCTGATGGTTTCTGTCTCTATGATGGTTTCTGTCTCTATTATGGTTTCTGTCTCAGTGATGGTTTCTGTCTCTGTGATGGTTTCTGTCTCAGTGATGGTTTCTGTCTCTGATGGTTTCTGTCTCTGTGATGGTTACTATCTCGCTGATGGTTTCTGTCTCTATGATGGTTTCTGTCTCTGTTATGGTTTCTGTCTCAGTGATGGTTTCTGTCTCTGATGGTTTCTGTCTCTCTGATGGTTTCTGTCTCTCTGATGGTTTCTGTCTCTCTAATGGTTTTCATAAAGAGGCGGAAGAGACCTCATACACATCGATTATTTCCAACAGACAACCTTTAACAATCTCAAGATAAGAGGCCAATCTAAAAAGACAAACAAGCTCCTGCTTGGCCTCTGTTGTCCCTGACACCAACAACCCTTCTCTACACGCTGGGTTTGTGTTCACAATAATAATAATAGTGTTTACTATAATGAGATATTAAAGAGGTTTGACTCACCGATAAAAGCATCTCGATTAGTGGGCACAGGAAACGACATGCAGAGGTAAGTGTCTGACTGAAATACACAACCAAACATTCATTATATGTTGACTGTTTGAAAACAATCCAAGAGACTGGGCGACACCATCGTCCATCTATCCATCCATCCATATATCCGTCCATCCGTCTGTCCATCCATCCATCCATATATCCATCCATCCGTCTGTCCATCCGTATATCCATCCATCCATCCATCCGTCCATATATCCATCCATCCGTCTGTCCATCCATCCATCCATCCGTCCATATATCCATCCATCCGTCTGTCCATCCGTATATCCATCCATCCATCCATCCGTCCATATATCCATCCATCCGTCTGTCCATCCATCCATCCATATATCCATCCATCCGTCTGTCCATCCATATATCCATCCATCCGTCCATATATCCATCCATCCGTCTGTCCATCCATCCATCCATATATCCATCCATCCGTCTGTCCATCCATCCATCCATCCATCCATCCATATATCCATCCATCCGTCTGTCCATCCATCCATCCATCCATCCATATATCCATCCATCCGTCTGTCCATCCATCCATCCATCCATCCATCCATCCATATATCCATCCATCCGTCTGTCCATCCATATATCCATCCATCCGTCTGTCCATCCATATATCCATCCATCCGTCTGTCCATCCATCCATCCATCCGTCTGTCCATCCATCCATCCATCCGTCCATCCATCCATCCATCCATCCATCCATCCATCCATATATCCATCCATCCGTCCATATATCCATCCATCCGTCTGTCCATCCATCCATCCGTCCATCCATCCATCCATCCATCCATCCGTCTGTCCATCCATCCATCCATCCATCCGTCCATCCATCCATCCATCCGTCTGTCCATCCATCCATCCATCCGTCCATCCATCCATCCGTCTGTCCATCCAGCCATCCATCCGTCCATCCATCCATCCATCCATCCATCCATCCATCCATCCATCCATGTGTTCTCAGCCTCACCCCTGCTGGGACGACTCCGGGCATCCTGATGTCCACAGAGAAGTTGTGAGAGTTTGTGAAGTCCTGATTGGTCCGTGACACACAGGAGGCGGAGTCTGTGGGGACACCATCATGAGACCTGAGGGAAAGAAATGTTTTAAATGACATCATCTCTGCACAGCTTGTTGCTTTACAGGGACAGAAGAAGAGAAGTCTATAATAATAATAA